CCCAAACCTTCTAACAAAACATTTAGTAACGGTAATTGTTTAATTGAATCCATTTCCAACCCAAAAAAACACTCTTACCAAACATGCTCTTAGAATCTTAGGGGATGGGATGGAATTGAGTTAGATACTAATGTTATGAGGTTCCACGGAAAAAATTGCCTAGCCAAACACTGGAATGGATTCTACTCCATTTCAACTCATTCCAAAAGGCCCAACCAAGCACCCCTTCAATTTATCACTTAATTATGCAGACTAATCCACTTTATCTGAAACCTAAACCAGAAATACATTAAACAAAGTGTCTACAAAAATATCAAAGATCTAAATAGAGAATAAAAGGTTGAAGCTTTACTAAAGCAGAAAAACATTACAGCATCTATAAAGACAGAATAGTTGACGATCAAGATGCAAAACAAAAGACCAAAATATTTTGGAAGCTCAGGGAAGAACGTGAAATAGAAAAGAGGATAAAAGAGTCACATTTCCCAATTAGAAAGGGGATTATTGCTTATTGGAATACTTGAATCTTAAAACAATTAGAAGGCCGGAAAATTTACCTTGCCACCAGCTGTTCCAAGAGGTTGATGGATCATCACTTTTGAGTTTGGCATGCAAAAGCGCTTCCCTTTACTGCCAGAAGCAAGAAGAAATGCTCCCATGGATGCAGCTAATCCCATGCAAATAGTAGATACATCTGCCTTGCACTGTTTCATAGCATCATAAATTCCCATCCCTACAAAAGTGAATAGAGCAAACTGGAGAAATTAACTGGAAACCACTGCACTTTTCAACTATAAGTAGAGTAATTTACTTGACTTTTGACCTGATTTCCCCCTATTAGTTAAATGTGAGTTAGATTCTAGATTGAGCAGATAACAAAATATAAGGCCGGGCCTGTTTCAAGCATACAAGTAACAATCTTTAGAGACAAACATCTGAGTAGAGTAAAAGCGTAAAGCAGAAGGTGTTTTCACATCGTTCTCAAGATACAGTCATACAAACCTTTTGAAGTAGAAAGAGAGTAATTAATTAATGATACATGGAATAACATTGTCACCGTTACAGAAAGTTTAAATCAGCTAACAAGTTCACCATATATGGCAAGTTGTATTCATACTTGATCAAAACAACAGAGCTACCAGACCTCATTGAAACCACTAGCAACCTCAAAGCAAGACACTTTTGACTTTTCTCATGTGAGTAACCAGATTACCCTCAACGACATCACCCCACAGTTCCCACCCCTTCTCAAAAAAAAAAAAAAAAAAAAAAAAAAAAAGCAGTGAAGAGATAAAATGAGCCAAAATTTTTTTGGGACTACTAGGTGTCTAGGTTAGTCGAACTAAAACAATCTACAACATCAAGCCTGATAATATTAAGGATAAACATTGCTAAAATGATAAACAAGTCATACCTGCAGTCACCGATCCACCAGGAGAGTTAATAAACAACCTAATATCTCTCTTGGGGTCTTCTGCATCCAAAAGTAAGAGCTGGCTTATGACAAAATCTGCTGTAGTGTCATCAATCTGCAGACCATCACATCAAAAGGAAAATTAGCTTATCAACCCACAGATTCTGCTCTGTAATTTTATATCTCAATATAAGCCTCTAGCTCTATTCTCAACCCTCTTGAATCTACATGAAATAAATTAGGCAAAATTGGCCTCAACAACACGAACTTTTAACAAGGTGCATATAGCAGCATGAATTTTGACTAATAGCCGTAACAGCACCAACTTCTTCATCGGGTGCACAAAATATCATACTTCATAAATGAAACCTAGGACCAGAAATTTTGTCGAAGACGTGGAATCTTTAGTATTTTATTAACTTTTTGCAAATTTTGATATCATATTTAATCCTCAAGGTCCAAATTGACCGCAGACCTTAACTGAGACATTTTTATAGCACGCAAATCGATGCTTTTTTGTAATTTATTTTGCTAATTTAATCTCAAAAATGACCCATATTGACTAAATTGACCTCCAAAACCTCGTTTGATCATTTTTTTCCGCATACAAATCGAGGCACGCAATACCAGATGATTTTTTATAGTAATAAAATATTAGATACCTTGTCTTCGGCAAAATTTTTGGTATTGAGCTTCATTTATGATATTTTGTGCACCTAATACAGAAGTTTGTGTTGTTATAGCTACTAGTCAAAGTTCATGCTGCTACTTGCACCTTGTTAAAAGTTGTGATGTTGAGGCCAATTTCGCCAATAAATTAAGGTTGTACTCTATTCACCTGATATTCACTATGTTGAACTTATTTTTACTAATCTGAGCTAAACTGAACTTCGGTAGCCCCCTTATATATAGGAAAATATTCGGGGGTGGTGAGGGGAGGGGAGTTACTAAGCACAAAAATCAAATCACATTATGATCTGCCAAGACTACGGCACCTTGTGGAAATAAACAAACTACATAGTGAGCCACCGTATTCCTACCCCTTTTAACATGAGAGATGAGAAACCAATGAAAAGTTGACCTCATAGCACACAAGTGTCCTCCATGATCAAGTATACAGGGCTGTTCACATCGTCTGATTGCAAATCGCTTTCACTAAATTCACAGCATCGCTTTCACGTTCTAAATGTTGATAGCCAGCCTCCTAGCAACTATCAATTTGAATCTTGCTGCCTACCATTCCACTCTATACAAACTTCGGTAGCCCTTATATTTCTTTAACTTAGCTTATTAAAACTTAAATTTCCTAATCTTATCTTCTTTGAACTTATTACTCCTATAAAACGTGGAAATAAGGTGAAGAGAACAAAGCCTAAATCCAAGAACAAACCTAATTCTCCAACAATTCCCCCCTTCTGTCCCCTCAAAATCAAGAAGTTTAACACCAATAACAAGCTCATCACAAAATTCCCACATGCAATCCCTATATTTCATTAATTTGCAGCTCAATTTAGCACACAATTTCAATAAACAAGCGAAAAATTGAAAACTTTGACATCAAATTACAAGCAAAATCCCTAAAACCTCTTCAAGCAAAACAAATTTCATCGCATATAAAAACCCAACAAATTTAAATCCAATTAATCCATAAAAAGATAACAACAGTAAAAAAAAAAAAAAAAATTAATTAAATAAAATAAAGGGGGATAAAGTTACGAACTTGAGAACCCAAAAAGATGATTCTTTGACGAAGAAGCATATTTGTAATATCAAGTTCTTCAAATCTGGGCAACCTGGGAGCAATAGTGGCTGAAACATCCCAATTAGAAGACAAAGTATTGCGTTCAATTGACCCTTTTAAGGAATTAGCTTGAATTAATCTGCTTCTGTTTTGATTGAATGACTTAATTCCAGAAAAAGTTGAAGGCTTGAATTGTTTGAAACCATGGTTAAAGAAATTGAGTGGCCTTGTTGAAGAAGATGGTGTTGTGAATGTTAAACTGCTCAGTTCCATCTTTCTCTCTCCTCCTCTTGCTGGGTTGGAGTGAAGGGTATACACAGTAGAGGAATTTTAAGGATTTGGGTAAACAAAGAACGTTTTTGGTAGATGATTTTTTTATTTAGAAAAAAAAACTGTATAATTTTTTACCTATATTTTGGATTTGTTTTTATTTAATTATTCACAAAATAATTTCCATAACTAGTGGTAGAACGGTAGAAGAAGGCAAGAAGCTTTCCTAATCCTACACTGTGTCAAATTACTATAAATATATCTTAGAATATAGTTAAGACATATTATTATTCTAAATAAATAAAATATATGTGGAAAATATATCACAATAATATAATTTCCTATATTCTTAACATTAGGATATGTCAAAAAATATACAGTATATCAAATCTGAAAATTGATCCAAATTGCTTCAAAAAAAAAAAAAAAAAAATTTGATCCAAATCCGAATTAAAAAAAACACAATTCATAAATCGATAACGTAAATTGAAATTGACTCGACCTAAATACCCATAAATTTGCAATCAGACTGATTCAAAATTTGTTTAACTATAATTAAGTATTATTGTGATGAAAGCAAAATTATTAATAAGTGAATATCTTATATTGTAAAATGTATTTCAATAAAGTTAGACAAATTTAAATCCATACCACGTATCAACAATTAGAAGTGTTTCGGGAGAAAACAATGGGACCTTGTTGAAGGTCCGATAAAGTGGAGAAGACTGGATTCGGTCCAAGTGAGGTTGGGCCGAAGGTTTCCTGCACAGCAAACACAAGTAAACTAGCCTCGGGGGTGTTGCCGAGGGAGGCCCCTCCAATGCTAAAGTCAGTACAGTGTGTAGAAAGAGAATGCTATGCAAGAGAATTAATTGCTTGAGGCTTTGTATGAATGAATGTACAAATGTAATATTGATGGCTTTTATACCTTTGCTTATATGGAGAAGTTGGGCCTTAGCCCAATTGACTTGCCTTGTGGACTGATCTTGACTTTAGTACAATTGGAGAGTTGAACCTTGACCTTGGGCTTTAAATTGGATCATTTAATGACTAGGCCCAATTGGACTAAATTGGACCCAAACAAGAAGTATTAGTCCAAAAACAATCCCGCTCTTCTTGACTTCTTGTACATATGTACTCACTAATTTAAGGTACCAAATATATATACTTCCTCTGTTTCTTTATAGTTGCAACATTTCTTTTTTCACGCTTATCGATGCATGATTTCAATTGTTAATTTCTTTAATTACCAATATGTAAAATTATAAGTATAAATCATTAAAGCTAGTCAAAGTGAAACACATTAATAATGTAAAAGTCAAACTGTTGCAACTAAAAAAAAACGGAGAAAGTATATCCTTTAGTTAAGCTAACTATCTAATTAATTATCTAATTTTTAAATGGTATAGATTCAAAAATTTCATATTATGACCATTATAGTCAAAGAGGGAAAATATTTCTATTGAAGCAACTTGTAACCAAAAATTTAACAAATAATTGTTGAGGTTAATTTTTTTAAAATCTCACAACCGAGTTTGTAGAATCAATCTTAATTAGGGGTGAAAGTAAATTGGATAAAAACCGAAAACCGAACCAAACCAAACCGAATAAGCAATTCGGTTCGGTTTTTTTCGGTTTTCGGCTTGGATCGGTTTGAAAAAATGGAAATCGAAATATATCGGTTTGGATTCGGTTTTGGGATTCGAAAAACCGAAAACCGAAAACCAAACCGAAGTTTATTAAGCCCACTAATCCCAGCCCATTTTCCTACATATGTATATCCAAAACCCTAAACTGTTCCCCTCTTTTCCCATTTCCCTTTCACTTTCTCTCGGCACCTTCCTCACCAAATCCCTAGATTTCCCCACTTTTCTCCCTCACCACCTCACTCTGTCCGTCCACCACCACTCTAGAAGTCCACTTAAGGTATCTCACCACCAGTTCTTGTTTCGGTGTTTGTGCTCTCAACGTATCTCAAAGTTGTTCGCTGGCCGCTCGTGTTTCATTGTTCGTTTTCCCTCATATCACCACCACTTCACCGCCGACCACCACCACGTCTCCTCACCACCACCTCTCTGGTCAGTCACTCAAAGGAAATGATATTAGTAAAGAGGTGCAGAAGCAGAAGATTTTATTTTTCTATTTAATTTTTTTTATAACTCAAAGGAAATTATATTAGGAAATGAATAGATATGAGGTTTTGAGCCAAATTATTGAAGGAATGCATGAAGCAGAAGATCTGATTTATTTATTTAATTTCTTTTTTAATCGGTGGACAAATTTATAATGGTTGATTGTATGTAATTAATTCTTAGTTTAGTTTGTGTAATTTTATGTTTATAATTATAAAGATTGCTTAGTTTTCTTATACTTCAATTTGCATCTGGTAAAAAATTCGGTTTATGGATCGGTTTCGGTTTGCTAATCAGAAATTCGGTTCGGTTTGATTTGGACCGAATTAAAATTCGGTGTGGATTTGGATTGAAAAATGTAAAACTGAATTATTTCGGTTTGGCTTCGGTTTGGGCCATAATCCAAACCGAACACCGAACTTTCACCCCTAATCTTAATTACATGAACGACCTAAGTAGTTAACCCAAAGTACTAAATGTGTCATGTTCCTTTGTTATCCAAACTTAACTCGATTTGAGTCTTTTGACCAACTTGTTCATCATTTACCAACTTTTTTGTTTTAAACCAAAGATTAATCCTTTAAAAAAAAAAAACAAAAAAAAAAAAAAGTGAAACGTGCCACCATTACCGCCACCACCCCCTCCAATTTCTGTTTGTGGGTAATCTTGGAGGTGGAATTGATTGTACCCTAAAATGGCGAGATTCTCCATGAATTCCAGAGATGAAGGTGAAGACTCCGACTCCGACTTCGACTCCGACTACGACTCCGACGACTCACCTATCCGCCTTCCTAACCCTAAAAGAAGAAGAACTTCTGAAACCTCTTCTTCCTCTAACTCTAAGTCTGATCATCAACAATCATCAAAAGATGAATCTATTTCCGATTCTGCAGTGGCACCCACCAAGCCGCCTGCCTCCACTTCTGTTTTTCTAAGCGACCCGGATGTCTTGGATTGCCCCATTTGCTTCAACCCATTGACTGTTCCTGTTTTTCAGGTATTCTTGTATTCAAGCTTTAATCTTTTTTCCCTTTTTAGATAATTTTGATTTCGATGATTGATTTTTATGTGATTTGTGCTAATGGATTCTTAGAAATGATTTTGCTTTTTAGGGTTATAATCTGCATTTTTAGGTTTTGTGTTATCTTAATTAATGAGTCTGCAGGAAGAATTAATATTGGGGGTTTTTGTTTTGGTTGGGGGTGTGTTGGAAAGTTTCAACTTTTAAGTGATTAGGGAATTATTGCTTGGATTTGGTGGTAATTTGGGTACCAAAAGTGATAGGAATTTTCAATCTCAACTAGTTATTGTGGTGGTATTTAGGAGACTGGAATGTGTTTGGTGTTTCGCCAGGAGGAACCTATCGAAATAAACAAGTAACTCTTTTGGGCTTGTCTGTTGAGGATTAAGGTTAATGCTATGTGGTTTATATAGATTAGTTTGATTTTGCTCTACTTGGGTATGCAAATGCAATATAATGAATTTGATGGTGGAGTGGCAGTGCACAACTTTCTCTTGTAAGTTGTAAGTTTAACAGGACTTGTGATTGATGCTTTTGTGGACTTTATGGTGTGAAAGAGAGAGGAGGGTTGATGTTCTGAGGTTTCTTGGAGCATGCTTCTTTTCTTGGTCACGGACAAATTATTATGGACGGTTTATGTCTTAGTATAGTTGATGGTTGGAAATGTTAAGACATGGACAAAAAATTAAGATTTGTAATATAAAGATTTAATATGATGTTAGGTACTTGAACAATGATTCACTCGGGTTATGTACTTCTTCCTGTTATTATTGGTCATCAGATATAGTGATTTACAAGCAAGCTTCAGTATCATGCTCAGGCTATCACTACTTTAGTAGTGCAGGAGTTTCTTCCCTTAGAATGACAATGTCTTCTTGTTCTCTTCTAGCATTGAATGAGTCGCAGCATTTATTCCATTAAGTAATTATTAAAATCACTACAGTGTGATTATCTTGAAGATATGACTTAGATCAGATTATTGTTATTTTCCCTTGTGTGAAGAGTATTATTCTAGGATCAATCTCAAACATGAAATTTTGGTTCGTTTTACTATTTTAGGTGCAAAATTGTGATTTGGCGGGATGATCTGTAACTTGTGGTATCTGCAGGATTGCTCTTTTTTTTCTTTCTTTTTTTATTTTGTTTATTTTTTTTTTATTTTTTTTTTTTGTGGGGGGAGGGGGGGGGTGGATTTGTGTGTACGGCTGTTACTTTACTTCAGGGTTTAGACTTTCCAATTTTTTGTGACATACTTGTGTAGCTGTTTAGTCGTGTTTGACATGAATAACTGGAGATAGATACTCTAGGTAAAATTTTTACAAACTGAATCAACTCATATGCTCATTTTGGAAACTGTAGATCTGACATCTAAGCCATCACTGAATGAGTAGATCATGTGAAACTTTTGCGCTTGCAAGCCTTTTATTATATGACGTAATTATTGTTTGCTTGTGCAGTGTTACAGTGGGCATATAGCATGCTCCTCATGCTGTGTCAGCCTTGATAAAAAATGTCCCTCATGTCGTGGGATAATTGGAAATATCCGATGTCGGGCCATTGAAAAGGTTATTGAATCAGTACAAGTATCATGCTGTTATTTAGGGTACGGTTGCAAAAAGAGTATCAGCTATTGTATAAAACATGAGCATGAGGATAAGTGCATCTACGCACCATGTATATGCCCTTTTCCTGACTGCCTCTTCCGGGGTTCACCTATGAGACTTTCCAGCCACATGTCTAAAGAGCATGTTAATTTTGTGACTCGCTTCCGTTACAACTCTGTCTTCACTGTATCTCTGGGGGCGGATAAAAAATTTCTTGTTCTTCAGGAAGAGAAAGATGGCTTTCTGTTCATCCTGAATCAAGGAAACTCAGTAGCAGTTAGATGCATTCATCCAAGCCCCTCAAATGGAAGATTTGCATATGAACTTGTATCAAGGGGAGGCGCCACCTCTCTTAAATTTCAATCTTTCACACGTTGTACCACAAGGCATTTCAATGATCCTCTTTCTGTAGATTATTTTCCGATTCCTGATTATTTCTACCACAGTGGTGGGTCTGATAGCTCCCTCAAGTTGGAAATTTGCATACGGAGTAAAGATGCCTTGGTGCAGTCATCTTAAGCAGTTTGGCCATTTAAAATAACTGAGCTCAGCAGGTTATCTGGCAGTTAAAGGGTGTTAACAGTTGAAAATTGCAAACATGCTAAGGTTAGTGTTCTGTGTGGTACTAAATTCAATTTGGTCCCCTTCAAATTTTAGGCTTTTAGCTGAATTCTCAAGCAAGGCTTTCACAGTTTGCAACACATGGATGTTCTATTTCTGTCAGCATGAAATCAAGTTCACTGTCTCTTTTAGAAAACTTATCAACTGATTTAACCTGATTAAAAGGGCTTTAACCAATTATCCTGGATTAGCCATTTAATTAAAATTCTACCCCTTGATACTAGACAAGGGTTCCCTTTTTCGCTTTCTGTTGGTTTTTTTAATCTTTTGCATGAATAATTTTGTTACCTCTTATTGCTGATTCTAGGCTTTTCATTTTTAAAATGCATTATCCTGTGAACTTTGACAGTTTGTAGAGTTAATGCAGTTGTGCACTCATTCATCTTATAAATTTAGACTTTGAATTTGACAGACGACTAATTTAATTCTCCCTTTGTACCCTTATCTTTTAAAATCATTATACTACGTATTAGAAATGTGAATTTATGATCATTTTGCATCCACACTGCTTTATCTTGACTAGTTGGAGTGCGATTTTTGATATAAATTCTCGATGACTTTGACATAGCTGGAGTTTCGAGCATCCTTTCACCTCCTGCTTGTTCTATGGTTTGTAACTTTGCCTCCCGGAGGAGATTGGGGGGAGCTTAAGTAGTGAAATTGATTTCATGCTCTTTTAAGCCTTAAGTTGGACTCATTTTGGGAAAGCAGTGGTGACGTTCTTGACTGTTTGGCGTAAGTCTACAAGTTTTGGAGCTTGCAGAACAGTTCTCCTGTCGGCCTCCTGTGTTTTTTTTTTTTTTTTTTTTTTTTTTTTTTTTTTTTTTTTTTTTGTGTTAGGAAATGGATATGTATATATGCTATATTTATGTACTTCTAGAATCTAGATCAATGGAGAGACAGAATGCTTGTCATGTATGTTCATATTTTGTAATAATTTAATTAGTGATTAAAGGCATGTACTATACTGTTAATAAGCCTGCACTGAAGAAATTTGCATCTTCATTGTTAGCTGACATTTTCTCCTGGTAGATTCTCTTGTAAAGCTGTTCGAATATGCTTGGTATACTTATGGACTCCACAGTCCCAGGTGACAAGTTTGTTTGCGAGTGAAGTGCAACAATTATTAGCTTGTTTTAACGAAATTAGAAATACTCGTTGATAATAAATTAATAACACATACTTGTTCTGCCAAAGAGGTTTGAAAGGAGGCTGCCCCTACCCCCAAAGAAGTGATGAAGAAAGTTTGAGATGTACACACAGGATTAACATTAACATGATGCAATGAAATGAGTCAAATTTCTTAGTTACAATTCTCATGAGACGTGTTTTGATAGGTAAATATGTAGCAATGGCCAAAGGAGTTAACCCATTTTAATTTTTTAAATGGGGGTTCTCAAAGGGGTCTTTCTATCAAAGGTGCCCCTCTACAAATTGACTATCTTTTTTCTCAGATCTGTGAGGACTTTATCTCTATGTTTGCTGATAATGATTTGAATTATGACAACCTCAAGGGAGTTAGTTTTGTGAATCTAGAGAGTGAGGGAGAGCTTAAATGGTTAATTCTCATCATCCGTTTTTGTGGCTCTTGAAAAAAAAAAAAAAAAGTCTTGTATTTGCTGTATCGCTTGTAGAAAGTTTGACAAACATGAGCTCATCTCAAATCAAAGTTCAATTCTAAAGCCAAGGTGTGGATTAGATTTGGTCACAAGTTGGTCTTCTGTAGCCCCTTAGGAGCATCGAGAAACTCCTCGATGCTTAATATTGTCGAGTGTGAAAATGTTCTTTAGAGGACAATATGAAGGTTATAAATACACAAAAATAGTACCATTTTTAGAGAATTCAAAACCCTGTGTTGCAAGTTGAAATTACGGTAAAGGAAGCATCTCAAGGCCTATGGCATTGTTTGAAACTACATAGAACCATCTTTAGGTCACATATGGGCATGTGCTGTCCTTGTGTTGTTTAAAGAACATTATGTTTGTAGCTAGTTAGCTGGATAGGTAAGAAGTAATGTGGATGGTTCTAAACTTCTAACCACCTAAATGGTCTCCCAGAGTCTCGTTGGATGCATGAGAAGCACCTCATTCTCTTTCCTTTCCGGGCCCAAAAATACAAAAATTGAAGTCTTGAATCCACGCTTTTGAACCAAATTCATGAAAATTTTCTAAAAGTTTAGTAAATATAGGGGTGTCCATTGATGTCATAAAAGTTGGTTTAGAACCATGACATGTCTATGTATTTTCGAATTAAGGTTGTTGCAAAGGAAGCTAAGAGGTGCAAGAGATGATTCCAATTGCCAACAAACTTATCTCGGCTTGTGACTGAGTTGATTATACAACTATTTTGCAAATTTGTTGCAATGGAAGCCAAGAAGTGCAAGATATGATTTCAATCACCAACTATGAATTTCAATAACTTATGAAGGTCGAGAATCCTTTGTTGTTGACGCACAAGTTGTTTATATTGGGTTAGTCATATTTAAACCCACCCATTATCATTGTTGAACGTTGATGCATAGTGTTGAGCCATTTATGTTACTCTCAATAATGAATTTGTGCATATTGTCTTTACAAGCACATCAGATTTAATTCATTTAAAGACAATTAGTTAGAACTTGGCCTTTGGCATATACTGTACTTTGTTTGTTAAGCCAGAAATAAACTGATCAATCTACCGATTTCCATAGCAAGCTCTTGCAGATCAGTTATTCAAAAGAATAAGAAAACTCTGTTCCAAAAATTTTTACATCATTGCCTTCATTGGTACCGTAAAACTCAAAAAGTTTTAAGTTAACAAAATTTCAATATTGCTGCTCTCTTTTCCACATTGAAGAAGAGCATCTAACTATATAGTTTTGTGTATGACTTTCATTTTATCTTCTGTTTGGCTGATGAATTTTCATCCACGTACGGGTATTCAGGAGGGGCAATCCAGAGTCCCCATAGTATTACCAAGTGGATGCAAAGAAGTATGCCGGATGAGTAGCTGTTTGACGGATAAACATTCCAACAACACTCTACTCCCACAAACAAAGCAATGCTGCAATATGAAACACGGAAAAGTAGATTAGGTGCTGGCTTCACTAGTCACCTTGTAATCTAAACAAAGAACAAATAGATACCGCAACAATGTAGGGAAGGGTGTCTTCCACAACAGATATGGCACGCTGAAGAAGTACCTATGACAAAAACAAATTGTCATGATAAGATACACTGCTATATGGACAAATATATACATAAACATATCAGATTATGCAGAAACTTACCAAGAGTAGAACTGATAATGTAGTGAGCGGGCACAAACGATACCAATGAAGTTTCCAACAAACATGGTGGTTACAATATCTGAAATTGAAACATGTGATTCAGGGTTCAAGTATGAAGATGGCATTAATCTTGTTCTATCAATCCCAGAGAAAGCCAATTGCATGGATAACTTACACTCTTCCTTCAGTGTTTTTGAGGTTGTGCCATACGCGTAAAGTCCCTTGAGTGGGAAGCAACTTACAGTAGAGATGTAAGCAGAATGCAACGCTTTCAGAAGTCCACCCTCATGCCTACAAGACAGTAAATGATTTTCAACACTCCTGATCCTTAAATACTCTCCATTGTCAAACAAATTCTACTTAAAACTGCCACTACATTATGAAAAACATGACTGAGGTTATATTTCTAGAAACAAGGCAGAGCAGATTTCACTACAGCTCTACCCCAGGCTTTTGTCTAAGTAACAAAATCCTACGACGTTTAGTGATTGAATTTAAATAGCCCAGCCAGCAAACAGTCATTAATTTCCAATTTTCCATTATTATTAATTGTAGGGTTCTAACAAAGAAATTTCATGTTTTAGCATCTCAACGGAATCAAAGAGATATTACGACCATGAACACCTTTCTCTACCAGTAAAGCAGAATGTGACTTCTTACTTGCACCACTTCTTGTGAGCAAAAATAGCCAGGAGCCCGAGATGTAAAATCAGCAGTGTAACTGCAAATGCCTTTGAAACAAAGACTGGCTCTGGAACAAATTTGAAGTTAACAGACCTGAAAATGAAGCATAAGATTGAGGAAAATAGCATTAAACAATAATAGATAGAATTACCTAAGGATCGCGGTTTGGAAAGTAAACAACGAACACCAATTTATCATATTTCAACTATCAACATTTTAGTGAATAAATAGTACATACAAATCCAGGGAAAAAAATATGGGGATTGAAAAAAAAAAAGGCATCAAAGATATATAGTGCGTCATTTGCTAACATATGCTCGGAAGAGAAAGGGGCACACATCAGGATGTATATATAACAGTAAACAAACACTCAATATACTTCCTTCGTTTCTATTTAGTTACACTCGATATACAAGACATGACATCTGAAATACCCTGTCAAATATCACAGTGAAGGTTATAATCCATCACACCAAGACCAAATTACAACCCCACTAAAGGTAATAGTCCATGTATGAACAACTCACCAGAATGGCAATTGTGCATAATCTAAAATCCCACAGGCTCCCTAAATACATCCTAGTATCCCCTCAAGAATTTGTCATCCACCTAATGGACCACATTATGAAGGCTATATGTCATGTTTATGAGACACTTCCAAGGCACATGGCAACTGTAGACTCAAATTGCAGGGAAGCCTCTTGTGGTATCTATCATTCGGTCTGGAACTCTGGATGCCACATTAGATCAAAGATTTATTTCCGGCTGCAAAGGCCGTAAGTCATGCCCAGATGACAAGACTTAAAATCAATATCGGAAAGCTCGACAGAACCCAAAATGGAAATTTTCTAGAATCACAAAGTCACAGACATCCTCTCTGTCACCCGCGGCCCAAATTTTCCATTTGGACAACAAAAACAGCCTTGGTAAACCCTGTTTTAAAAGCTGTAACTCACGTGGAACCTTTCCGAGAACCCACAGGAATGTTGATGCAAGATACTTCCTTTATTTTGCCCAATAGTCACAGCTTTATCTTCACATTTGAGCCAAAAAACCCCACCATGAAGACAAGTCATATTAAAAAGACCCTTTGAGAACAGTTTAGGATAGTTTCAGTAGAAAATGGATTTAGAACTGGCTTATTAAAGAAATGCCAAAAATTTTGATTTCCTGAGCCACAAAAGTCACACCTAGTGTTCAATAAAACATCAAGATGAAGGAACACCAATGTGAAAAAATACCAGACATTGATGTTCAAGTTCTTATTTTTTATTTTTATGGTGCCTTCTCCATGCCAAAAAAACTAAGAAAATACTGAAGGAACCTACCTCCCACAATTCTCAAACATAACTAGAGCAGTAAGACATGCATTCTCGGCGACATCTATCCCTTAATCCAATACTCTGCAATAGGCAAAATTCCTATTGGGTCTGTCACACTTTCTTACCTAGCAAGCAAGACAGCCATACATATATTTATGACTAACAAGTGTGGGCCTAATAAATATAATAACTAGTAAAAACAATATTTTCTGGATCCCAGTTTCTAGCATGCAGCTAGGCATGTCTTTCTCATGTGAGCTTCCGTGAAAAGGTCCATATAATTTCAACAGCGGTTTGAAAACGTACCAAAAGTGGATGAAAACACGTCCAAGATTGAAGGCTCTGGATAAGTAAGCTACTGGATATGATACTAAAAAAGGAAACCCAAGCAGGATCTGCAGAACCATCATGAATTTGAATGGATTTATCATTTGAAATCAATGCACCTGACACAACAGCAGCAGCACTTGACATCTTACCTAACAATTCATAGCAAAAGCAAAAGAAAATTAAGCACATCCCTATGAACATAATCTCGTAACAATAAGAGAATTTTTTTGAGCAGGAAAATAATCAGTGGGGAAACAATGATTTGAAGTTTGATCAAGTTCAAGATTGGATTGTTTTGGTTACAGAAAACCAGTATTTGCAGTTTTATTGCTGATTTACTCTCAAGCAATACAAGCTTAAGCACATTAATAAGAATTATCTATTGTTTGACCGCATGGTTGAATGTGTTGTATTGCAATATAATGCA